CCCCAGCCCTCTCCACCAGCACAGAGAGCGATGGGGTTGCCGCCGGGAAGAGGAAACCAGCTGAGTCCTCTGCCCTCCCGGCTCCGCGGTGGGTCCCTCAGGACAACTCTGGGTAACAGGAGCGCGTGGGCTTCTGCCAGCGAGCAGGGCCATCGAGGGTTTACCAAAAATGCTCAGTGTTGGGTTCAAGTTCAGGAAGGCCCGGGCCTCGCGGTGCGCAGTTTGCTTACCGCTTCATTTTAGTTTCTCCCCCTGCTTATGGGGGTGCAGGTGCCTGGGGCGGTCAGGTGTTCCCAGGCAGGACCCTGGGGTGGGAGGGGCCAGCGGTAATTTCGGGTCAGCGGGCCTGGCTTCCCCTCTGATTCCGCACGGATGTTGATTCTGGAGCTTGCACTTTAGCAAAAAGACAATGTACAAGAAAAAGACCAGATGTGTGAGAGTGATAGCTGTGGACGAGAAAGGACGGGGGCAGTGCGGTAATTTGGGGGTGTAACTTCTAACCGGAGGCAGAGGTGGCCTCCCGCTGGAGCGAGGACCCTAGGGCCCCAGAGCAGGTCACCCACATGACGTCGGGACACGGCGCCTGGACGCTCTCCCCTGCGGGTGCTCAGCGACTTACTACTCCAGGTCCCGCATCAGGGCGGAGTGACCAAACATCTCCCTCCCACAGGTGAGACGCGGGCTTAGGAAGGTCAAATGAACTGCCAAGGTCACACATTAGTGAATGGAGGCAGGAAGCCTGGTGCCCGGCCGGGCCACAGCTGGAGGAGACCACTCCACAGCGGGGACGCACCTGTAGCTAAGGGGTCCTGGAAGTGACATCTGAGTCGTTGGTTTTATTTCCATGAGTGAAGCCTCACTATACACGCAAAGTGACGTTGTTCTGGAAAGTCTTCACAGCCTGTGTGTGGGTGCCTCGGCCTCGCCCATGGGCAGTTTAATTCCGAGTAACATCCTTGGGTCCTCGGTGATGACTTTCCTGCTGGTGGGAATGTGACTCTTCCCAGTGCTGCACGGCGTATCATCAGTGTGGTGAGAGCCTGGCCCAGACCCGCTGCCCCAGGCCACCCAGAGGACAGGCCACTCTCCTGAGGTGCCAGCGCCCAGGGCCTGGTTCTTGGCAGAGGGTCGGGGGTCCGAGTCAGAGCCAGGCACGTGGAGCTTTGTGGAGGGCACAGGTCACCAACCCTTAGTTTCCGGATCTGAAATTGCTGCGTCCAGGGAAGCACTGAAGCACGGTCCTCAGCAGGGTGGCGAGCCCACGTCTTCCCGGCCTGCGCTCCTCCCTCCTTCCCCAGGGTCAGTTTCTCCTCTTCTCCATCCTCGTGTCTCAAATGCCGCCGCCTCCGGGAAGCCTTCCTCCTCGCCCCAGCTGCACGCAGCGCTCATTCTAAAACCGACGCCCCAATCAGGGCACACAGCATTTTCTACTCTGTTTTAAAGTTTAGCTTACACTGTGTTATCTAATTCCTGCATAAGCTAAAAATTAATTTATATGTCATATGTCCTTGCACAATGTTTCGCCCCCTCTGGACACTGAATGAGTGTGTTGTTATTAATAAATTAACTGCAAAGACACAGTCTCCTCGTCTCTGTTTTGCCATTTCATTCCAGAATAGCTTTTGAGCTCACAGAAGTTTAGTGCACGGACTGAGTTAAATGTGGCTATGTCAGCTGTTTGTTAATGTAGATTGACAACAGTCTGCCTTGAGGTAAGTTCCATTCGCTCTATCTGGAGATCAGAAAACCCAGGCTTTAGAATAATTTCTGTAAGGTCACAATACTAGTCATGACAGAGCCGGTATTTAAACCCAGGACTGTTCAACTCCAAATCCATCTTCCTCCCCACCAGCCCAGACTTCTGAGGTATTTTACTGGGCAGCCACATGGGCCGATTGAATAGACTAATGTTCTGTAGTTAGACCCACAGCGCCAATTCCAAACTCCAAGATAAAGTTTTTAAGAATTCAAGAAGGTGCTTTTGTGTCCTTGCTTCGAAGATAATAAAGAAAGGAAGGAACAAAGGTCATGCCAAAAAGGGCCGTGGCTGTGACCAATCTATTTGCGGCATGAACTGTGCCTAGAGAAGTTTGTCATTCGGAACACAGTGGAGCCGCAGCTGTGAGGGACATTTCTGAAGCAAGTGTCTTCGACGCCTATGTGCCTCCCAAGCTCTACGTGAAGCTACATTACTGTGTGAGTTGTGCTATTCATGGTGAGGTAGTCAGGAACTGTCTCGGGAAGCCTGCAAGGACCGAACACCTCCACCTCCACCTCCACCTCCATTTAGACCTGCGGGTGCTGCCCCATGACCTCCACCAAAGTTCACTAAGGAGCTGAGTTCCTGAGGACTGAAGAATATCCTTTGGGAAAAAATAAAACGGAAATTATACTTAATGTGGCATGTTAAGTGTATCTGTGCCAAATAAGGTGGGTGGCTTCTGTGTCTTATATAAGGTGTTCAAATGAATTGCCATGTGCTTTTTCACCGGAAAGAAAGTTTACCTCTATAAATTAAAAAATAATAATAACTCAAGAAGGTAAATGCAGACCATCAAATCTCAAGAGGTGGGCAAGGCTCTGGGGACTGTTGTGCCACTGCCCTGTCACATGCCAGTGAAGCTATCCTCAGAAATTTGAACATGGAGGTGTGAGGATGCCCAGGGCTCATAGGCACAGAGGTGTGGTTGAAGCTGGGGGAACCTAGAAACCGCTCCCTGGGAACGTGAAGAGGGGTAATGTCAGAAAGAGCAACTGGGGGAACAGGAAGTGAACAGGGAAGGTGGGGCCCCGGGGAGGCACCTGAGGCCCACATGCCTCAGCCGGAGAGTCAAACGCTCCTAGACGGCCAGGTTGCTGTGAAGAAGTAGGTCGCACAATTGCAGGTGACTCTTCCAAGAAGGCTGGGGAGGGGCAGCTAGGGTCTGCCTTTGTGTAAGCCTAGGGCAGTCAAGGGGCCAGGGGCCCTAAAACCCAGCCCACACCCCGTGGCAGCCTGCTAGGAGGACCCAGGGAAGGCCTCTTAACAAAGGCACCAAATGGCTCGGCTCCCCCCTGGAGCTTGGCCTGCCTGTGTAGTTAGAACCTGGGTCTTCCCACTAGCTCCATCAGAGTGGACACCAGGAGCAGCAGCTGTAGGCAGAATAAACATGCTGGACAAATCATAGAGACACAGAGTCAGGGAAAGGCCATGTGGTTTTGTTGTTGTTGTTTGGTTTGGTTTTTTGCTTTGTTTTCATTTGTTTCAGATGAGAGACTTAAACATGCGAGAGAAATTGGAGACAGAGTTGAGAGAGGAAATAATTGACGAAATAAGATACTAGGGAGAAAGCATAAGAAATAAATCAAGAGAACTTCTGGAGGAAAAAAATCTGAGAAATTTTGAAAATTTAATCACTGAACCCTTCAGTGGTATTTTGCATTGTCCTGGGACCTTCCAGGGATGGGGACCATCCTGGGGTGGGGAGCAAATGAACACAGAAATCACAAGATATATTTTCCTCCATTTCTTCAAGATGACACCATCTAGCTGAGAAGTCTTTTATGGGGAAAAAATATACACAGCAATGAAACACAGCAAGAATGTTCCCAAGTGTCTAAGTAAGAACAATGTGAAATCAGTGAGCAGAGAGAACACCCAGAGGCCTCACTGCAGAGGTGGAGAGCAGACGGGGCACTGCGGACACGGCTCTCACGCGGCCTCCTGGGGGCAGGGGCAGGGCATGGTGGGGCCCAGCTCTCACTCAGCCTCCTGGGGACAGGGACAGGGCATGGTGGGACACAGCTCTCACTTGGCCTCCTGGCAGTGGGCCAGTGAGCAGCTCTCAGGATCCAGAGGACAGGGGCTCAGCTCCATTTATTTTCCAGTTGATGAGGGCCTGTGCCAGCAGCCCAGCAGGAAGCAGAGGAGGCGTCCCTGAGAGCTGATGAGTCTAGGCATGGAAAACCTGGCTGCTTTTTAATGAGCCCAACCAGGCCAGAAACAACTAAAGAAAATGATGAGAAAGAAAAATTGGCATTGCTTCCAGACGCTAAAATACATGGCACAGTTGCCTCTTTAACTTGATTATTTGCTTTAGAGACCAGGGTAATCTACCATGCTGCCAAATCAACGGCAGAAGCAATCTCTCTCTCTCTGTCTCGTACACACACACACAAGCAACCCCAATATTCTACCAGCCACGGCCATCCAAGGGAGCAGCAAGCCAACAGGCTTCAAGAAAACAGCTTCCTCCTTGTGCTCAGCTAAGTTTCAGAAAATAAATGGGAGGCAGGGTGAGGAGGGGAAATTCCGAGGCTGCTAAGACATGAGGGGCTCGTCCTGTTCTAACCAGACCCTCTCCCTGCTCACTAGTGAAAGTAGTTCTCTCATTCTGACATGATTTGAGGGTTATCACTTGCTATAACCTTTTTTCTCACTCTTTGGCATAATTGGATTCATTTGCTCTCTCTTGGTTTTATACTATTGCTCTTTTCCATCAGCACAGATATTCCAGCATGTATGCACACTGCTTTCCCGCCAGACCTTCCTTTTTCTTCCGAGAAACACACACAGGACCCAGAAGCCCCCATGGAGCACCCACACCAGGAGCAGCCCCTGGGGAGCACCCACACCAGGGGTACCCACACCAGGGGTACCACATGTCCTCCTCATTGAGGGGGCAGGATGCACCCTAAGAAGTAAAGAAGGCCATGGCCTGCTCTGATCTCCTTGTAAAGATGCTAACGATGGATCCCTGCCAAGTCAGGTAATGACATTGCTAGTGGGAGAGCCCTCTGTAAGGAAAAGCTTAATCTGTGTTCCAGACCGCCTGGGATTGCTTCTGGTAAACAAACCTGAAATCTGTGACTTTC